TTTTTTTTTTTTTTTTTGGCAGAAAATAGAATGTATAACTACACAATTATAAATCAACTAATAAAATAATTATCTATACCTGTAGTGGCACAAAGAGTGGCACAACACTGGAGGTGTTGTCTCCCCCCCCCCCTTTTTTTTCTATACAAATGCGCTTACACTTCAGCTGGTGGTACAATACCCATAGGCACTATCTCCTCTATGATCCTGTAGTTTAGTGAGCAAGTGCATATTCAATTTCTTTAGTCTAAGCATGCCATCTTTGTCATTTGCACGAAGCAGGTATCACCTGCAGCATTTTTTTTTAGGTCGGTTGAGTGGGTCTTCAGTTGTTATGATATACAGTGTAAAAAAAGTCATGCTGTTTCAAGACCAGTGTTAAGGTCTTTTTCCTACTCTTTATTTCATATTAATAATTAACTTATTTTGTTCACTTCTTAGTATAATTTTTTAAAACAATGTTTTTCTTACTGAAAGGTATAGCAGGCAGATTATTGTGGTGCTTCCCACACCCCTCCCCAAATAAGACCTGTTTTCAGTCCATTTCACTCTCAGTTGCAGGTCAGTTTTATATTTTGGTCTTTCCCAAGTTATATGGAATCTTTCACTCATTAAGGTCTCTTAAATGTGCATTGTGTTAAAATTTAATGTGGTTTTAATAAAATATCCATCCTGATGATTAAAAAAATGACTTTTGAATGAAAGCTGTTTGAATTTTGGCTTAAAAGTATATATATATATATATTTGTCACAGGACATGTGCTTATTCAGTACAATTGGCTATTGACAGGTGCCAGACAGCATTTGTCCTGTGAATCAGACATATTTGTGTTGCACTTTTTTTGTCTATGGCTACCTTTTTGTTCTTCATGTCTCAGTGAGTATTGAATAAAGACCTGATTTTAAGTGATACTTCTGAACTGAAATTAAAATTTTGTTTTCATTTTTCTATTAAAAACTGCACTTAATGTAAGTAGGAAGGCCCTTAACTATCTCGTGACAAGTAAAAGTGCCTGTCATCCTTCATCCAGTCAGTGTGCCTCACTGATATCAAAAACAGTAATATATTTAGAAATGTGATACAGTGTAGGGTATAACTGGTTGCAGTAAATACTTTGTGTCTCAAAGTCGACAAGTATCTTCAACATGCATCGTAAGTAAAACTGTCACCATTCGGTTGTTTTACATAACCTGCTATATAATTTTTAGCAGTCTTATTAGTTGGTCGTGCTTTGTTACCGTAGAACTCTTTGTGAAACATGGCTCTGGTTTTTAGTTGGCCAGACTATCAATATGGTTCCTATCACTGGTAGTATTTACAGTGTCTAATGGAAACCTGATGTCCAGGCATAGTCATAATACCTGAACATACAACCATGGCCATATGGTGCACTGCGGGAGGGTAGTAAATTTACTTAAGTACAGGGTGGAGATCTCTTTTGCACTAGGCTGGGAGAAAGAGGGGCCCCAAATGGCTGGTTGATGTGTACAAGGAGGCCTTTTGGTAACATTCACATCAGAACTAACTTTGAACTAATGGCCTTATTTATATCTAGTGATGACCAAATTATAAACATGTCCAATGCGTACCTTGCCTTATATTATCCCCATGCTGTTTCACTGTGGTCTGGTGCAGATGAGACTATTTGTAGTGTCATTTTGATGTTTGGGATGTTGAATGAAAAAAAAAGGTATATATGATAAAAATGATATAGAATAAAGCAGTCTAATTGACTGATGTGACAAATATGCAAATTAAGTATATAATTGTAATTTCAAGATTATGCAAATCAAAATATTTAAAGAAATGATGACAGATAAACACAACATGTTTTTGTGTACATATATTTAGCTTCTTCATATGAATGTGCTGATTACAGTTGGCGCCGTCTTGTGTCAGCTGCATGTAGCCTGCCACCTGGAGGAGGAACTGTTATTCATTACCACCAGCTGCTTGAACAATTCTAGGAACAAGTTCTTACCCTTGTTTACATTAGGCACCAACATGGCAGTCTCCTTTCTGTTTCTAAATTATGCTTTCCTGGTTTGCAAAGAGTAAGAAAATAAATCATGATATTAGTGCTTTGGTTGGTAAAATGATTTTGCACCTGGGGGTGAGTGGATTTGGATGAAGCGTGGTGGAGATCACATTTAGGGAGAACATCTTAATAAGCTTATTGGGGCACTGACCTGTTAATGTACAGTTCATGTGGATGTTAAATATGTTCGTGATATCTTGACCCCAAACAGGAGGAAAACAGGAGGAGATATCTCTGCTCATGGCAGTTGCATAGTTTTTTGAGGAGAATTTCATTTCAGACAATCAGTTTAAAGATAACAGGTGTTGTGTCAGTTTAGCTGAGGAAAGCAGTGTGAAATGACTTGTGTATAAGTTTATTTAATTAAATGTAGAATAACGTAATATGTTTCAATTTAAACAAAAATTATGTGTATTTGTATTCTTGTTAGCATTTCCCGGTTTTTGCGTATATTATTTGATAATTTATGTTTATGTTTGTCAATACCTGTTTTATTGGTTTAATTTGCACATTTCAGAGACTGTTCTGAAGATTCTTTTTTTTTTTTTTTTTTTTTTTCTGGGTGATTCAGGTGGATTTGGCCCTTAGCTCACAGGTTTATTCTTATATGTGTGTTGTAACTTCTTTCTCTTCACATCTTTGAGCTGGAGCTACTTTTGAAATTTGCAAATCAAAGTTAAGATCAGATTATGCAATCTTCCAAACCTAAGTNCAGTGTGAAATGACTTGTGTATAAGTTTATTTAATTAAATGTAGAATAACGTAATATGTTTCAATTTAAACAAAAATTATGTGTATTTGTATTCTTGTTAGCATTTCCCGGTTTTTGCGTATATTATTTGATAATTTATGTTTATGTTTGTCAATACCTGTTTTATTGGTTTAATTTGCACATTTCAGAGACTGTTCTGAAGATCTTTTTTTTTTTTTTTTTTTTTTTTTTTTTCAATTAAGTTTAGAGAAGCAATTGTCTTAGGCTATGTTTAGAATAGAAGTAATCATTCTAGCAGGATCGCTCTATCTCAGCGGGATTCCTCGCAAAAGCCCTGTCAATGTAATCGGCTTTATTGTCTGGTACTCTGGCTAGCAGAGCAACATGATCAACATCACAAAGTTTCCTGACTTTACCCAAGTACTTTAAGTTACAAGGGGACATGCCAGACAATTAAGCTGATTACATTGACTGTGCTTTAGCATGAATCGCCGCTGAGATAGATTGATCCTGCTAGTACGATAACTTCTGTTCTAAACACAGCCTTGATGCCTGATATGGGAATGTTCCTTAATTTAAGAAAGCTATACTGCATTTATCCTGGTATAGCATTTCAACTATTTATCTCCTCTTACTCTCTTCATTGTGAAACTAGTCATGCAATATTTTATAGAATTGCTTCCACTGAATGATGGTTTTTTTAAAGATTTTAATCTTTAATAATTCACAACCGTGACATATGTAGCATTTCTTTTTGAGGTGCCTCATTTTTCATTTTATGAATGACAGGTCATCATGAAGACATTTTTGTACTACATGGTTTAATTATGTGTTTTTCGTTTGCGTTCTGTACATGAGGTCAAGGTTTTGACGTGATTGTTGCCATGATTGTGATCCCAGAATAGATCACATAGTGGCAGGTGCTTCCTGGTAATGAGCTCTACAGCAGATCTGTCACCAAATTAGCAATTTTGACAATAATTCAGTCAAGTTGAATAAACATGTTTATCTAGCCTAAGTTCGTCATATTTAGCCTTCTCTCCCAGTTGGTTTACGAGGACAATTGATGTTCTCCTATGCAAAGTTGGAAGATGGTACATCATCATGTATGAGTGACATCGTGATTTGGATTTTAATTTTGCTCTGCAACTGTGACTGATTAAGAAAATGAAAAGATCATTTTAGTTGGCATAAGTGCACAAATCATTTGGAACAGTTAATCTGAGATATTTTGAAAGGATACAATTTCATATGCTGACATAGTTTTGGCTCTCCTTTCATTAGCTATGCAGTCAATACTGCAATTGACATGCATTATTTATTTGTGACTAAAACCAAAATCAAGTTCAAGTGCAGAAGGGGTAATGAACTTCATGATATGATTTTTATAACTTGTCCCCTAAGGCACAATGAAAACTTCACCTCCTTCATGAAAACCAAATACAGACACGATTTCAAGATCATATTGTAAAATCTTTGTCTCTCTGAATTGATGCATTACCATATCAATAAATAAGTTGAAATGTTTGAGACATGACGTCTATTTTATGAAGACGGTCTTAAAAGTAAATTTATTTTTACACAAAGAAAATGCTCTCATTGCTTCACTAAAAGTCATATCAAGATGATATAGATTGTTATAGTTTATATTTAATTGAATAATGTTGTGAATTTTTTTTTTTTTTTTTTGAAAGGTCAGTTCTTAAAATTATTCACTTGGGGAGCAAAATACTTTTTTCTGTTGACTTTTTGTTATAAATAAACCATAAAATGCATCTGTAAAGCACTTGGCACATCCAAAAAATTGGTTACGTCTTTTAATCCACTTTTGTGTACACAGTTAAACATGAACAAAACTCTTGATCTTTTGCAGTTTTATCAAACAACTTGCTAGTAAAAATTGGTGTTAACTTTAAGACCAACATTTTGAGTCCACTTTGACCTAAGAAAAATAATTAGTATTCGACTTTAATGAAGTCTTGTGTCTCTTTTATTATAAGTGGAAAAAATGGTTGATGTTTTAGATCAATGGTAACTTTATTTCATTGGTTTTCCATATATTTATCCTGAATTTGAAATAAGTTTGTTCTTTAAGCCTAACCTATGGTCTAAACTTCTATTGTGAAACCTGTCTGGTTTGGATAGGTTACTGGGCATCAGAGTCATGGGATTAAACATGGGTAACCTGCATTACACAGTCAATTAACTGTAAATGGGACCACTTAGTAGGCATCCCTTATCTTAATAACGACGAGCGCGCTATACGTCACATGCAGTACGGTACTGCGCATGCGCTAAGATTTTACCCTTGGAGGGGCAACAAGCGGACATTTTGTTTAGAAGCAGTGTGAAAATGAGTGAAAGCCATACGGTGATTTTATCAGAAGAAGATGTCCCAGGGGCAAAACTACCAACTCCAAATGTGGAGGAGCATACGAACGTTGTTTTAAAACGATGGTTGGCCTGCCGTGGACTTAGAGTGAGCGGGAAAAGAGCAGAATTGATAGCAAGGTACTGTACACGTGAACTACGTAAGATAATGATAATCTTTGTTGCAAAAACAAAATTAAATTAGCAAATAACTTCTCAAACTATATTATACGAATGTAGATACATAGATTAAACTAGCAACAGTATTCGAACGTGATGACAATAAACAAAAAACTTACAGTGCACGGTAGTGGGGAGCGGTGTACGGTAGGCTGGGAGCATATACTACCGAAGTAATACACGAAATTTAAAGTAACATGGCAGCATGCTTGTGTTGTTCAAAGTATGATATAAGAGTTGCTTAAGTTGATACCTTATATTATTTCCAAGGTTGCCCAGTGCATGTCAACTAAATTTTGTAGCAGTTGATCCCCTTGCTCCAACATGTTTTTTTTTTAATTATAAGTTGTTCTAGCACAGTGGCTATGTTATTACAATCCCAAGGAAAAACTTCAGTTAAAGTTAAGGATAAAAGCATCATAAGCACAATAAGCTATCTGATCAAGGATATTTTACTCCAGTTATGTTGATTATGACATGATATCTCTTTTGTCTTGACCTGAAAGCAACATGTCATATGTCTTAACAAGTGAAAATGTTATAATACAGTTTTTTTTTTTAACTTGCAGATGCAAAAATTGTATAGCTGCTGGCAAGGCTGGAGAAATTGATGTGAGTGTGGATCAGGGGAAATGGTACCAGAGAAAACTACGTGAACAAAACATTGAAAATGAAGATCCATCATCACAGCAAGAAAACTCCGGAAGTTGGTCTGGGCTTGTACCTGAAGCCGTACCACAAGTTTTTAACTATGGCAATATTTACCAGTGGCTGGTTGAGTCGTTACCAAGTTTTGACACCACAGAGAAACCTTTGCGTCGTGGATCACAATATGTGCAGTCTGGTTATGTAGGGCAGATTTATTATAAGAGAGACTCCTCCACAGTATACTTCAAAGGAGTTGTTCTTGCATCTATGCGTAATGAGAAGTACACAGTGACTGTTACATTGTCTGTTAATAGTGGTGCAGTGAAGGCTGCAAGTTGCCACTGCAAGGCATCTTCTTTGAACAGGTAATTAAAAACAGTAATAGGTTTTCAAAGAGTTTATAAACCTTAAACTTTTTTTTAACTATTTCAGTTTTATTGTTTTTTGGTACATAAATTAATTGGTCATCTTATTTTCATATAAACTTCATCATTTTACATAAATATTTTTTTCGAATACGTTTTTTTATCCTTTTTTGTTCAGTTGTCCGTTAAATACATGAATTGACAGTTTTTTTTTGTATTTCCACATCTTAATAGTTTTATTTGCACCAGTTTCAGATTTATATTTTGTGTTTATATGAAATGAACAAATGATTTTTATTGTTATTAGGTGTAGTCATGTAGCTGCGCTTCTGATATTCCTGCATGAGAAACCTTCTTGCACTAGTCTACCATGTGCATGGAAGAAAGGTTCTAAGAGGAGGAACCCTTCAGCCCTACATGAAGCCAGTTACACCTCCTACAAGGTAGTAAGGAATGATGTTATCAATTTTGACCCGCGTCCACCTGGAAGCAAAGTAAGCCGTGAAGATCTCAATGCATTCAAGTCCAGTTTGTCATTTGCTAATGCTAACACCGGCACAGTTAGCATGTGGGAAACCCTTCTTACCTATCAATATTTGGATTATGAGCTCTCCTCTGAAAGGTTGTTGACTTTGAAAGACTTGAAACTTATTCTGCTGCATGATCTTACACCGGAAGGTTGCTGGCCAGTAATGATTGAAGGCACTAAATCACAGGCAGATTGTGCAGGATGGTTTCAAGAGAGGTCCCGCAGAATAACAGCATCAGTGGCACATGAAGCAGTGAAGATATGGAAGGCCATCAGTGAGCAGGGAGTCACTGATGGCATACGCCAGAGAGTATTGAAGTTACTCAGAAAACACATTTGGGGCTTAGATGCCGTCAGCACATACTATATGCAACATGGGTCTTCCATGGAAAAACAGGCACGGGAAGACTATGCCAGTATTACCAATGCAAAGGTCAGTGAGTCTGGCCTTTGGGTTGACCCAGCAGTGCCAGAACTTGCCTGTTCTCCAGACGGACTTGTTTTTGATACTTCATCAGATGACCCTGACGGACTGTTGGAAATTAAAGTTTTGAAGGTGTTTCAGAAGTCTGCCCCAGAAGATGTAGCAGCCCAGTATGCAAATGGTAGTATAAGCACAAAGGATCTTGCTGGCCAATGCTTCACTATTAATGATAAGGGTGAGATAAAGCTCAGAGAAAGTCATGCATATTATTATCAGATTCAATTTCAAATGGGAATCACTGGAAGAGAATGGTGTGACTTTGTACTCTGGTCACCTAAGGGTCAACCTAATGTTCAGAGAATTTGGAGAGACAATGCTTTTGTAAAAGATATGTTTAAGTCTTGTAGAAATCTTTGGAAGTCAGCTTTTGCCTACGAGATATTTGAAATGAGAGCACCTCGAGGGCTGAAACCATTCATAGTGGTTTAGTGTATTGAAAGAATGTGTGTTAAGTGTATTCTAAAAATGTGTACTGTTGAAATGAGTACTGGTAGTAAACCATCCTTAGATCTTTGTAAATAATATGCTTTCAGTCCCAGGATACAAACTGATTTAATAGCAAAATAAGGGATGAAATATGTATTTATAGTTGCATTCAGGTAGAGCAAGTGTTACCCTAGCATTAAAAAAATTCTTTATATAAAATGCAAAAGTCTTTAGGTTTTTTTCTTTTTTTTTCAATATATTCATCAAATCCGACTAAAATATTAAAATATTTGGAGGGGGAGGGAGACTCGTTTACAACTATTTAATATATGTCATCTAGAACAAACAAACCAAGTTACATGAATGTCCAAATTTAATAATTCACGAAGAATTCAGGAATGTTGAATGCCAGGTAGAAATATCTTCCATACACATATGTGATATTTTAACCCTTTTATGCATAATGAATTCCTTGGTGGTCATTGTCTGGATGGTATTTTAATTTTTTGGTACTGTATATCTGTATGTATCTGGAGGGTTTTATTACAGTTGTATTTGCATGTGTCCGAAAGTAAGCATCATTTTTCATAATAAAATGTTCAGAAAAATATGAGAAGTCATCCAAAGGAATAAACTCATTGTTTTATATATCAAATATGATATCCTTTTATTATTTCTTCTAAATAAACAGATAATCAAAACAACTCCAGTTATTATATACAGTTATTGCATAATAGCATTGAAAGGCTGTTTTCATTTAAAATGATGAAGAATTGCAAATATATATAAGCATCACAGCTTACTTCCTTACTGAAATGTATAAAACGCACCACTGGTATAATAGAAATATTATTATGCTTATGAGTTTTGTTTGTACAGATCACTTAGCTAACTGGTCTTGAAAATTGACCAAGCAGCATACTACAAATACTGACTGGCTGGCTAGTGGAGCCAAACTCAAAGGAATCGTGCCTGAAATTAATTTAAAGTTCTTCACTCTGCCGTTATATCTTTCAACGTGAATTCGTGCCTTTGCCAATCGTTTAGTCAAAAGTTCTTCCTGGGGAGTGAGGCTCTCACGGCCGTTTAAAAAAGCTGGCATGTTGACATCAACATGTAATTCTTGTAAAATGTCCTTTACGGTGAATCCACGGTCTACAAGAATCATGTCACCAGGATTTAGATAATCTAAAATACCACACTTTTTGAAAATTTCCCTGTCACTAATAGACCCTTCAAACAAATGAGAAACGAATACACCAGAACCATTCGGGGCTACCGCTATGCAACATTTGAAAGTGTGATGATGCTTATAACTAGAGTATAAATTCCCTTGTCGGGCGAAATCTTTCGGCATTTGGACATAAAATTCGGTACAGTCCACTGAACATCGGACATTCTGGAAACTTCTAAACGACTTAGGAAGAAATGGCCTCAAGGTGGAACGGTCTGCAAACATCTGGGGTCGTAAGTCATTAAAATGATGATAAAGGAGTTGAATCCAAGTTGTAAATATTGACCTTATGACTGTCTGTGATAACTTAAAGAAAAAACTCATACTAAAAAAAGAATAACCTCTCCTAAGCCGAACCAGTGTCATGAAAAGTTCATCAATGGGTTTGGTCTTTCTTCTGCTAGGTAATTTGTTTGTTGATTTGCCGTTCCAGTACGTCAAATTATTAACTGCCGGACCGAGGAAAGTAAACAAGGCTAAAAAGTGCAAATACTCCAAACCGGTGAAAAAGAAGAATGTCTTTTTATCATCCTTTATACCATCAATTGTCAGCAGAGGAGCGTCTGTCTTATCTTGGAAAGCTTTAGTTGGGGCGACAGTCCGGGCACGAACTAGTTCATTTTTTAGGGCTATGGTCTCAATCTTTGCTTGGAGTTCGTATTTCGTGTACACGGTCTGTGCTGAGGCATCTGTGGTCTCCACATCTTTGTTGCAGTTGCATAACAGGTCATCTGTCTGTACCCCGAAGCTGCGATACTGAAATGAAAAACTAATTCTTACACAAAGAAGAACAATCAAATGTGTGAATGTTATCTTTTACTTGCTTAAATTTAGAAAGGTGTTAATATTAAAATAAAATTGGCGCGATGACTAAAAACCGCAGTTGCGTCGTTTTCTTTAAAACAGTGTCATTTTAATTTCATTTATTATGCTGGCGTTAAGCCATCAACAAAGAAGCAAATTAGAAATCAAACTTTTAAAATAAAAAATTAAATAGCGACTTTGATTCAGCGTAAATCAAGTGACACAGTCAAGTGACAAGCCCAGCTAACCACCTGCCAGGTAAAGATGACAGCACTGATAACTGGTCTTACACCGCTGTTAGTGTTGGATGGTTTTCTAAGGAAGTTTGCTACTATAGTACCCATGAAAAGGACTGGCACTAAACAACACAGTTGATAAAATCACAAAAACGATGTTAGAGATTAAATAATACCTGTCGAACGTTGCCTTGTTCAGATTCTTGATAAGGCGGATCGTTGAAGGTGTCAATGGCAAAATCTTGGATTTCAGTGGTTTGGCATGTTGACGGATACTGAAATGCATGACAGTGAATAATTCCTCCGAAAAAGTAAAACCATTACAAGTGAAAGTGACATTTTTTATGGTCAAAAGCAAGAAAGGTATTTTAATTATTAAAATAATTCCGAACAACAGAAGATTGCACAATGCCTAAAACCTGCACTGGAATGTGTTACTCAAAACAGTTTCGTTTTCATTCCATATGTAATTGTGGCGAAAAGCCAGTCACAAATGTGAGTTTAGGAAATCAAATCAAAATTTCGAAAAAAGCAGGGTTAAATAAGTGAACACATTCAAATGACAAGCCCAGCTAACCACCTGGCAGGTAAAGATGACAGCACTGATAACTGGTCTTACACCGCTTTTAGTGTGAGATCGTTATCTGAAAGAGTTTGTCACTAATATTATGAAAAGGGCTACCAGTTAACAACCTAGTTGATTAAATAACAAAAACGCCAATAGAAAATTAAGCTTACCTGCAGAGTGATTTCTTGTTCAGATTCTTGACTTGGCAAAGCGTTACTGATCTCAAGAGACAATTTATGGATTTCAGGGGTTTGACATGTCGGCGGACGATTTCTGCCCAAATCTAATAAAGCCTCAGCAACCTCTAGTTGCTCATTTTTTGCCAGTTTCTCAGTATGTCTGAGTTGAAATGTTCTCTGCTTGGGGGCTTTTCTCTGACGGCGGTTTATCTTGGACACCTGTTTGATATGAAATGCATATATCGGTAAAACCAACCCGTAGTATTATATTACACCTTTAAAAATTCTCTGAGAAAATTGTTTTATTTTTTATGTCTTTAATAAATATTGCATCGTATTACATTTTGTCCGGATGTATAATTAAGATGCATTCTTCAAAGTATCGGTAACGGTAGTGTTATTCAGGACTCTACCCGTAAAAACACAGGGCCCTACTGTTTTATGTACTTACTTGTTCTGGACACGCTCGTGCAGATATCGGATCAGGGTTTTCCTCTGTGGGCCCGTTTCCACCAACAAAATGTTTGCTACACAAGAAGGTGTATTTAGAAACCTTGTCTATGTTGAACTGCTCCACATGCCTTCCACATAAATGAACCCACCGCTTGCACTTCTCCACATTCGTTTTTGGTTTGGGAAATGGCACGAAAAAAACACCTGCCATATGCGGCCTGTCAGCGTGCCTTGAGTCGCTGTTACAGGTGCCATAAGCACAATGCTTATGTACCATTGCGGTATAAATACCAAATTCGTGAATAAAATGAAAAATAATCACTGTCAAGGGAAATATTTAAAGCACCTGACACCTTCGCCACTGTTGTCTGTATGAGCCGTGTCACTGTGATGCCCGCCTACCACTGGCGCCACCTTGCGGAGCCAGCGTGGATAATCCGGGCTGTTACTTTAAATAACCATGTCGCGCGACCTTATTGGATGATTGGCTGTTTAAAGAGGTAGCTGGGCCAGACACATGAACTGGCTTGATACATTGTGGCTTGCCTGAATGCTTATTCTGACCATACCAGTTTAAAGCAAAGCCACAGGCAGGTAATATTACATGAACCAAAATGTCAGGTTGAGATATATTGTTTCTTGTGTTAATAATCGGGCCTGTTGTAACATGAAAATCTGACTCTCGGAGTAAAAATTTCATAATGAAAACCACACTCCACCCTACAATACTTCATAATCTTTATTTTATTTGAGTATATGACTTATATCTTATAGTATGCTAAATGGAGGATACTATGGCACATTTTGTTAGTTTGCAGGTGAAAAATTACATGAGAAAATAAGAAATTAGAAATCTGTATTTTACCACCTAGTGACTCCCTGTGAAAAAGCAATTTATTTGATATTTAATGATCATTTTAACACAAAATTTTGTGTGTATGTGTGGGTGGGTGGGGGTTGGGGAGTCGGATTTTCAGTATGAAAATCCGACTCCCCAGTCGTGGTACACTGTGTCTTAACTATTTCAACAGGGGTAGGTCTTTTATGGAAAAGGTACAAAATACCTAAGTTTTGCCTTTTTTGTACTTTTTTATACAATTAGTTTAATGTGAATTAATTTAAAGAAAAATTAATAATGGACATCAGTTTACTAATATTCATCCCCATAAATCCAAGTAATATGTGAAAATGTGATTGACAAAATGGTATATTATACACATGAACTTTTTTCCCCAGAATCATGACTTTCATAGATATACAATTCAATTCTAATGGGACTAAGGAAGCCACAGATCCTCGGGCAGTTATGTGTTTTGTCCAGTGATAAATGCTCAGAGATTTTTTTTTAAACCTAGGCTCATGTCTGATTATAATACTAGCCAAGATGACTTTGTTGACAGTTCCTCTCTCCATTTTCAGCCGACACACACACACACACACACACACACACACACACACACACACACACACACACACACACACCTTGATAGTTCATTTTATTTATTTATTTTGTAATGTTTATGTAAAAAATTAAGTTAATGGTTGCATAAGTTGAATAAAAGAAACACATAGGTACCATATGGTACATGATTTTAATTCTTAAGGTTCTGGACCTAAAGTGTAAAGATAAGTCTCTGTTTTGATGGACAGTTGCTAGGGTAATGTAACAAATAAAGCTTTCCCTATTGATCCAGTCTAGACTATGCGTCATTTGTGTACTCTCTAAGTTGCCCGGAAATGCTGCCAGTAAGTTGAAGTTCACACACCTGGAGATATGCAATTGTTTTCTAGGTACCTGCACTTATTTCACTGTCTTGATATATGAAAAGATGGTCAAATGCCTATATTTTGAAGAATTATGAATTCACCCTAAGGCAAACATCAGACAGATTGCGTATCAAATGAAGGCATTTAATTTTTTTTTTAGTATTTTTACTTTTCTGTTTTATGCCACTGAAGATACTGAGAGGTTTGGATGGTTGAAAATGCATTGTTGTATTCCAACTGTATAGCCTGGGGTATTGTTGGAGGGTGAAGCTAACAGAAGTTTTTTATGCTAACTAACCTTGCAGAAACTTAATTTTTCTTGTTAGTTTGGATGGATAGCAAGAACCACCCCTCTGGGTTCCTTAGTAAATAAATAAATAAATTTAAAAAAAATTCTTTTGTAAATTATCCATTTCTTGCTTGAGCTGCAGCCTTTTTAGACTCTGGCTTCCACAGGGATAAACTTTGTGGTCTGTCAGTCAAACAGGGGTGAATACTTGCAGTAAATATATAATATCTAAAATATTGTTGGCAGAAAAAAATAATTTCATCTGTGTGTGGTATTTGAAATAATTTTGAAAAAATAATTAAAGTCTATGGTATCTGTTGTTATTTGCAAACAAAGAAAATAAGTAGAAGAATACCTATTTTTGCCTATTTTCATGCTCAAATTTTCTTGGTGCGGTATTTTGTGACTATATGCAGGGCAAGGGAAGATGGGAATTTCTATGGAAACCATTCTTCACATTTGGAAGAAGCTCACTCAAATATTATATATTCCTGTTATTGCAATTTGATTTTATCTGTTAGATGACACGTTCAGCATCGGCTGAAGGTAACAGTTATCTAAGAAAACATGACTACCTTCAGCTGGAACGAAACAGTAAGGATGTCTGAATCTAATCAGATAAGTGGATAGGTGTCCATTTGCACTATGCTTGGAACAAATTAACAGTGCTTACCGTGACCATGCCAAATGTTAACTGTTTCCGTGAATAATTCCTTGGATAACAAATATCGTTTCCTTGCCATATAATTATGCAAGATTAAGAAATAAAATAATAAATAAATAAACAAATGACTGAATTAATAAGATAAAAATATAAGAAATAAAAATTGATCTGTTTTATACTTGTTGTTTATGTACTCTTTCAGGAGTAATATTGACAATCAGTGATAAAATATATGAATAAATTTTAAGAATGTATAAAAATACCCTGAGGGTGTTGAAGTGGAAACGGTGCAGACACCATACCAGTTTGATAACAGGTCATGCTGCAGAAAGTACACCATGTGCCTGGAGGTTTATGGCGGCTAGAAATGTGTGGTGTTAACAATATGACCTGAACAACATAATTGGATATATTATTTTGAAATGTGCAATGAGGAAGTTGGCGTATGATGTTCAGGATGTAAAGACAAAAGACTGATTTTACAAAAAAAAAAAAAAAGTTGGAATTATGATTGGTTAGACTATTTCCTTAAAATAAGTTATGATGACTTATTATAGTTATTGGGCATTGAAGCATTTACATTGTGATAAGTGTCTTAAAATTTTGATGGGCTGCAGAAAGATACACATGACTTAAAGATGAACAATGAATGAAAAATAATTGAAAATTTGATCAAATCAGTTTAATGGAACATTTCCCACCAATTATTTGGTAGCTGTCTTTTTGATATTTCATATCAGTCTTATTGGAATAGTGTTTATATGATGACAGGTGCTTGTATGTATTTTTGTTCATTGGTTGGCTTTATGAAAAGGCTTCACAGTCTTTCCTCTTAGACTCTGGTATGTATGACTAGTACAAAATAGAGCTGGCTTCTGTCATCTAAGTAAACCACCAGACCTGTTAAAACAAGCCAGGGACATTTATGAAAAGAAAAAAAGGAGGGGGATGTCACAAATGCCTTCGCCACATACATAAGAAGCCAAGCAAGCTTTAAATTAAGACTGTGTTGATTGCAAAAATCCACTTTTATGTGCCCCATTTGATAGTCAGAGGGCCCCAAGTCGGCACTCAGACTTCAATAGTCTGGCTGACCTTGTGAGGTCAAACCTAATCTGTTTACAGAGCCGAGGTCAGCAGACAGACGCAGATCAATATACAGCTCATTATCCAACCAGCCTCAGGGGCACCTGTTCATTATTTTAGATCCAAGACATGGATGCCCTGCCCAGAGATACTCATGGTCATGGCCCTGAAGATCTTAGAGGGATGGTTTAGCATGGTGTATTGATTTCCTATTCCCTTGTTCAGTGACCTGGGTCTGCCTGGGTAGTAGTGTGCCAGGGTCTAGCAGGGAGGATGTATATAACACAGCCAGGTTGAAGAGTGAAGCAGAGCAACTTGCACAAAACACATACACACACACTCATGACAACCTGTCTTGACTGTATTGATTTAGTGTGACACAGACCTTAATTTTTTAAATGTGGAAGTAACATCTGGCAGGAAAACCAAGGATACAAAAGCAAGGGGGAGGGGGGGGGGAAGGTGGTAGGGTTTGTTTTGAAAAAAAAAATCAGTGTCATTAAATGAATTCAAATGATATTATATGTATGATCGCATACTTCTTACAAGTTTGTCATTGATTATGTTGATCTTTATCTGATTGGGTATATTACAATGGGAAGGTCTTTCTCCTGACCATAAACTATAAAGACTACAGGTTCAGGTTCTCCTTTTGTTTCTCTCTTTTAAACTTATACTTGCCCCTGCTGTCTGTCTTTTGAGCTTATACCACCATGAGCAAAGAATATCCTGCAAACATGTTACAGAATGATGGAAATGTTATGTTTGGTACTGAAAGATGGGTATAATGTAGTTGGGGGATGCCTCAGGTGAAGGTTAGACTTATTCCTGTTCAGGGCATTGCAAACCAAAATTTGGTCCTAAAGGAACACATTGTAGGTCTTTGAGCCCAGGTCTGCTGTGCAGCATGATTTTACTGCCCCAAAGGTCCAAGTCTGTGCAGGCCAAAAATTCCAAGAGGTTGGTGACATTTTGGCCCTGCAACATTTTCCTCATTTGTGTGGTTTAAAATCACTGAAGTTTTTAGAAGTGGTAATAGAAATAAGTGTATTGTGTAGAACCATCAACCAGTCATGATGTCCACATTCAGGGCGTTCAACATGTAAAGTTTTCCCATATTTTTGGTCTGCCTGCCTGCAGTCCTATCTCTTCAGCCATCCAGACAGTGACCTATTTCTACAGGCTGAGAGGTCAGCTCCTTAGTATTCAGGTCATTCACGGCAGTCTGAGGCTCTCAGGCTCGCTTTTGTTCACTAAACAGGGCGCTGACTGGCAGGTAGGGGATGCGAACAACAAGTAAAGAGAGAGGGGACAAAACAACCATTTTCAATCCTAGAACCTGGGTATTCAAATAGATATAGGAGCCCTGGGTGGGAATAATTGGCACATGCTAATGGATGGGAGAGTCACTGATATATGAGAGCTTGAATACGACAGGGAAACTGAATTGTGAAAAGGGTAGATGGGGTCATGCATA